TTAGGGAAGCTTATTCAAGACTTTTGAAAAGTCCCACAAGAGAGAAATTGATTGGATTTTGGTTTACCAGCATTACTCAAACTTGGAGGCCATACAGCCCAGTGTTAAGATCCATTACCAGTTACATTTCCTCGAGTAAGTCACTCAATTCCTCTAAGGATCAGCTTCCATCAGTATAACACGGACTCTGCACTCTGTCCTTGCTCTCACAGGATTTTTATGAGGATGGATGAAACATGATAATACGCGTAAAGTGCACAGCACAATGGCTGGCACAGAAACAGAATAAGCACCATATACACTGTACACACTATTACCATTATTACTGATGCTTCATTCTTGACCACAAAACTTCTTTTTTTTGCCTCACAAAGATTAACATCCCCTGGATTTGTGAATGAATGTTACATAAAAGAAGTTTTAGAAAATATTATCTTACAAACATTTAAATCTACACTGTGCACAGTAGATCACTCAGCTAATTGTCATAGTTCTCTTCTCCTACCAACAGCTGTACCTACAAGCACCCTAAGGGTCTGTCTGGATTTTTAGCACAGAAGAGAATAAAATGCAGAGGTACCTTCTTTTTTTCATAACCTTTCAGAGAAATTAAAAGGGCTCTTTTGAGAAATTCAGGAAGAATCTGTACTCTATAGGCTGCCCCTCAGCCACACATGCAAGCCTCTCCACTATCTGGTCCCACCCTGCCTATCTAACATTAATTTCCTCTAAAACCATTTCTGTCAAGATAGTCTCCTTACAACAATTATGATGCCTTTCTCCTCAAATCCATATTGTTTCACACGCCTAAAATAAGCTTTTTTTCTTTCTTCTCCTCCTCCTGAAATTCCTATACAATCTTCAAGGTCCAGTTCAAGTCTTCACCTATTTTACAAGATCAAATATCACTCTAGCCTACATTGCTCTCACATTCCTCTCAACTTGTACAGTACATTGTTTATATTGTAGTTTTGGTATATAAATAAAGTTTTACATTTTATAAATTATTTTAAGAATTTATAATCTTCACTAACTAGTTTTAGAAAGCAAGGGATACAATTAATATATTTTACAATTCACTAAGAAAGCATTTAATAAATTCATGATTGAATGAACGAATAATGAACAAATTATGTGCTATTTTTGCCAATTTTTCTGACAGTAGAATTCTTTGGGCTAAATGAGATTTTTGATATCTTAATTTGATTTTTTAAATTCAAGAGAATTCTTTAAATACCTATAACCACTTCTTCCTTAATATAGCTTTTTAAAAAAATACACTTGAACTAAAAAAGAAAAAAAAATGCTGAAAATCTGTAATAGACAAAGCAAGTTAACAAATGCTAACTATATTACTGATCTGTGGTTTCTACCATGTTTTGGGGTTCATTATATTGACTCATTATGTACAAAGAACCATACTTTGAGGGGGATTTGAGGGACTTACAACAAGAGGAAAGGTTTCAATAATCCCATAGGAAAAAAAGTAGAAAGAAAAAAGCTCAAAACATAAAAAGGCAGATATGGAAAAATGTATTCCAAATAATCTGAGCTAAGAAGTGCTCCAGGAATGAGGTCAGAGCTTCTAGGCAAACAAGGTCTAAATGATTTGAAGATCACTGAATGTCTCTGCTATTTTTATGTCCTGAAAATAAGAAATAGTATGTTCTATGTTGCAATTAATATGTTTAATTTTGGTTTATTGGCTCTTGCTGCCTATCTGTTTCTCAGTATACTGACTTATAAAATGAGCACATGGTAGTCTCCTGATGTTAAGGCTATAGAACAGAGGCTACAATATTTTGACTATTCAATAAATGTTAATTGTTATTATTAATATTGTCATTTTGAATATATAAAATACTGGAGTCCTTCTTTATTAGCAAATATTTGTTTTAAATTAAAAAAAAACAAAAAAAAAACACCAACATTTGAGAATTAAGAATTGAATAGTTCACAACATCTAATACCTGAAGTTGGATATATGGCTGTTATGCTAGATTTCAACATTCCACTATGTGAAAGATTTGCAAGACCAGTATGCGTTACTTTCCTAAGAAACTGTATTTGTTTGAGAATCCATTCAGTCAATGGGGATAGGTTTCATTTGGGCAGAATATTCTGGTTCATGCAGTTTATTCAGTTACCAACCATCTCTAGATTACATAATTTAGAATATAATATTTTATTAAAAGTCCAAAATATATGGTGTAAAATTATAATTTAAGTAAGTTTTATTTGTTTAGAACTAACTTTGATTTCCTGTTTTAAGTCCAAGTTACATATAAATTATCCTTTTCTCAGCAAGCAACACCTTAAATTATCAATCATAAAAAACAATAAACATGTAATAATTAACATTAAGAAAATCTAAAAGATCATATTCAACACAAATTCACTTCTATGCAGACTATTTTCTAGCTCCAGTATTTTTGAAAACTATACTTTAATTTTCTGCACAATATTAACTAGAAGAAAATTTTCAAAAAATGTTTTAAATAAATTATTTTAAAAACTAACTTCAGGACTGAAGCCCAAAGCAAATGTAAATGTTACGTCATTAGTTAAGGGAAAGACTAGCATTTTAAAAGAAATTTTATTATGATTCTTTGTATTAAAATCTAAAGCATATAAACGTCATATCAAATATGTTTTTATCTAATCTAGTGCAAAATGATTTATTTTAGACATTATTATTTTATACTGGATAACCAGCACAATTTCTTCAGAAATAAAATCGTGGTCATCCAACAAATTCTTACAGTGATAAAATAGGATACCTAGAAAGTTAGAGAATTCTAAACTTAGAGCATTAAAAAACTGTTCATTTATAATATCTTGGAAATATGTTTGATCTCTCAGATTTTTCAAGTAAATTTTTAATTTTTACATTTACAAATAAAGTATTTGTGTCAAATATATTGCCCTACTAGATTTAGTGTACTCTTTTGATAAATCTTTTTAAACGATACTCTATTTCACATACATTATTTATTCCATGAAAATATTAAATAATGAACAATAATTTTAATTCCATGGATATCTACAAGGCTTACAAACGAATGCAAATATACAAAAGTAAATCAAGCACTATTAAAATTTATCTTGAATTTAAATAACATTATCTTAACATGCAAATAAAAATAAACCAAACATTTTTAAATTCTGGTTTTCATAAATCTATACTGGCACTAGATATGTGGTAGGCTATAAATCTCATATTGTCATAGAGAAAATTGGAATTTTAACAATGATTCATAGACCATTATTTGATAGTATCAGCTATTTATTATAAAAATAATAAAAATTCATTCATATCATTGTCCTGAATATACTGCCAGTGATACCATACTACTCAAACTACATTGCATGTTTTACTTGTTAAAAATTCAAGATGTTCACCCCTATTCCTAAGTGTTTGAACTTTCTCACAGAAGTTAGAGAAGAAAAGAGAGAAGTAAGAGCTGGAATAAAGCAGAAAGTTAAGAGACTTTACACTTTAGTGCCAATTCTGTAAGTCTTAGCCCCGAGTGATTTTAACGCAGGGTTTTTAAACTAAACTCATAGTTGTAGAATCTAGGTAGAGTCACAGCATCACTTTCAAGGTATCAGTTTTAAAAATATTCTTTGTATTCACTTCGTTTAGATAAAATAAACATTTCAAAACTATAAATGGCTGTGAAGAAATAAAAAAACAACTGATATTTAGAGCTTTAAAATATTTACATTTTGCCATGCATAAATTAAAAGATACTTCTTTCAAAAATTGTGAGGGGTATACAAATTGAACCATTTTGACATTGACAGATTATAAAATGAACAATTTTATATGGGATAACAGCTATCTATTCATGATTTAAACATGGAAGGATTTTTTTAAATGGTAAATAATAGAAAATTGAATATCAGTCTATAATTGAAAATATATTGCCTATTTATTAATTTCTACATTTGTATTTGATTAGTTAGCCTTATATTTACCTATATACTAGTAAAATTATAATAGATTTATAACACTTTAATATAAAATATTTTTTCAATTCAGAAACATGAAATTAATAAAATTTTGAGCTATATTTCAAATTTATTACAATGAACATATCCTGTAAACTAAATATTCTGTGGATTAATAAATAATACATTTCTTTTGAAGGCTGAGTCTATGGAGAGTATGATCACAAATTAAGTAGCTAGTTATAAAAGGGCAAATGCAGAAACAATAATTATAAACATAAAATATCAAATAAATTGGAAGATTTGAAAAGAGTTTATGGGGAAGAATTCATCTTATTTAACAATAAAGAATGTCATTTTTTTTCCTACATCATGTCAGTCATTATTCAATCTTAAAAACTCACATTATCTTTTATCAAGTAAAATTTTTGTTACAGAAAATCCCACACATTAAAAATGAACATTGGCCCTTTATGACATTTATATAAATACTACACAAGTTATACAGAAGATAATAGTTGATTTGTAACAAAGGACTGTTTGCTAGGTACAAAAATTTACTTATACAAATTTGTTGATAAAAAATATTGAACACGACAATTAAGTTAACAAAATAGGAAATTATATGCATAATAACTATTATGAAGACTACAAATATTACTAAAAAATGGTATTTGAAATTTTGAGAATAGTTTCATTTCAATTTTTATACTTTATTTAAAAAGTGGTATACTTTTAAGTAGATTCAATTCCTATAAAATTAATCAAATTTGTCTACAAATTTTTTAAAAGGCAATCACAAAAGAATGAGTCTCATAATTGCTCCTCAGTGTAACACTAATAAATGAATAATTCAATCACTCAATAAATCAATTGGTGAATCTAAGAAACTCTGATAGTCTTTAAATAAATAAACGACAACTGTTATGTTTTAAGTATCCTTAGAAAAAAAAAACCTTTGTATTCTAAGACTTTAAGGCTTCTTTTATAAGGAATTCATACTATGCTGTGGATATTTCTCTTTGATTTCCCAACTAAACACTCACTTGTTTGATGCGATCTGGATTAACGGTGGTCTGAGGTTGTAGAATGCTGACTGGCTCTGTCTTGGCCACATTTTGGGGCATTTCTCGAATTTTCTCTGCAATGAATCCATGAACTGCATTCAGTGCTTCAACTGTTCCCTGGATCAAGCACACTCGTTCAGTAGTACCTGTGGATAAAAGACTAATTTTCAGAAAACTTTCCTTCTTATTTTGTATTTTTTTCAAAAAAAGCTATGAAAAAGGATGTTATAATAATGTAAATAAAATAATGTAAAATGTAGAACTTAGAATTAATTAGATATTAAATTAATTAGAAATGTTCAATTGAACCAAACACAATGAATACATACATATTCCTTTTTACCACTTTTTTACTCATCTTTCTTAATCGTCTCAAAAAGGGCCTTGGATTTCAGCAGAGCCAGACATCCTGAGAAGTCCCGCGTGTATCATTCATTCATTGACATAACATATACTTATGAGCACTTATAAAAGGACTAAGGGTTAGAAAGTGGTAATACAGTTGAAGGTCTATGGACTCAGCTTTCAAAGAGCATATTCTTAAGTGGGAAAAACAGACATCAAGCCAGACCATTACAAGACAGTACAATAGGAAAAATAATGGAGGTATCTACAGTGATGGCATACACGGATGGTCTACAGTGAAAAGGGCATTTAAATCGGTGGGAGAGAGGGCATTGAAAAGTTTACACAGTAGGTGAGTTTCTGAATTTCTACCACCCTCTATGCACTTAACACTGCTCTTCTTTTAATCATAGCAACAACACTACCTGACATTTTATATTTGCTTGTATTTTCACTTTTCCCCTAGAATGCAAGCTCTAGGACAGTGAATCAGCCTATTTTGTTTTGTGCTGTAGTTTCCCCAACACCTAGAGCAGTCCCTGGCACACAACAGGTGCAACAATAAATATTTATTGAATAAATGAATCAACACTGCCCTTATTGATTATATAATTTTAATAGTAAGACAGAATATCAGAGTTAAAAACATTTTAAAATATTTAAGAAACTTGAAATTCATGATTGATTGATAATGATGTAATTAATAGTATTTGTTTCATATCTAGTGAACAAAATGTAGACATATGATGCAAGAAAAGACTAAAATGAAATTGGCTGGGTCTAATACACAGGTCCTATAACCCATTTTATACTTTACAGATACAATTGAAGGCAATAAAAATAAATGATTAGTTTTTTAGACTATTCTGAGCCTCACTGCAGCAGCCTGGTATTAAATTGTAATCTTCTCAGCATCCCAACACAACACATTACCCTACCTCTCAGAAATAAATATGATTTCACTAAATAATTATCAAAAAAATCAAAAGAATATTTTAAAATTTAGAAAATATTTGATGTAATATGAAAACTTCAAAGTACATAAAACATTTCCTTTTGGAGCTACAGCTTCAAAATTCTAAGCTACTCTATAAAATATTTTTAAAGTACATTTTGAAGGATAAAGTTGTAAAACTACAAACATTAAAAAAAATCATAGGGAGTTTATACTGCTTTAAGGATTCATTGCCACAGAACCATTTTTCTAGTTTTGAATTTTTAAAAAGAATAGTAAAAGATTATCATTTTTAGATGATAGAAAAAAGACTTAGATCACAAGAATTAGGAGCAGAAATAAAAGAATACTGTTAAATGGATATACTTAAATTACATTTTCATGTTTTAAACAATGAATATTCAAGTCTATGAAAAGTTAAGTTTCCTAAGTTGTACGAAATATTTCAATAGAGAGCTTGTGAGGATGGAGAGAATCTGAAAAATATAATGTGAGTTTGAAGGATTAATATTTCCTGTTTCTCCTAACCAGCTTTTCTCATCCTTGTCTCTCTTGATCTATCTCTGTGGTTCTTGGGTAAAACGATCTAGTTTATAGGGATGCTCTAGGGAGTCTTTACGAGGTTGTATTAATTGTCAAATAAATGACTAGAAAGAATGAGAACTGATCAATGTAGCTCATGCAAAGGGTTCTCATCAAAGTCAGCAGACAAAACAGAACATAGATCAGATTACATTCCTGGCTTTCAGAGTGCTCTTTTGGGTATGACAAAAAGGGAAAGGAAATCAGCTGAACCTCAATAGAGATTTTTTTTTTTTAATAAAACATGGCACTAAGTATCTAAAGAGATTACACAATCCATGTTGCTTTTAAAATTTCAATTTAAAAGAATACATATCATGTTAGACAACACAGTAAACCCAATACTCTTCAGATTGTATAGAGTAACAGGTAGTAAATGGAAATCACTGAGCCATGAAGAAATATGATTTTCTAAAACTAAATTTCACATAAGATGTATGAAACAATTTGCAGATAGTTTATAGGTTCAAAGTTGCAGTACATATTCTTTGAGGATTAAATTATATCACTACCATTAGAACTACTACAAAAAAAAAAAAGGAAGAAAAAAGGAGATTGCACATCCCCCAATGGGAATTGCTGCAATCCTCAGAAGAGATGCTGTCATATTCTTCTACTGAACTCTAATGGCCTTTTCACTCAGATAACACAAAACTATAACTTTTAGGAGAAAGTCACAAAAAGGGAAGACTGTCAGTTATATGACCAAACTGTGTAACAAAAATGAGCCTATAAATCATAAAAGTTGCTGTTTTTGTCATTTTAAAGGCTTTTAGGCTCCATTAGTGTCGAAACTAAACTGCCAGTTATTTATCACTTTATTTGTTTAACAGCAGCATTTACTTCTCTTTGCAATAGACTAGCAACAAAAGCTGAAAAACAGTTACATAAAAGTATATGCCCACATTTTTTATAATATAAAGGTACAAGTATATAAGACACCATTAACTTAAAACTGCACTTTTAAATTAGAAAATTAATTAGGGAGAAATTAGAAAAACTATAACAAGTGAGGTCAATGTCAAATACAGGAAGTGAAATTTGAAATGGCTTTAAGTCTTGATTTCACATGCAATATCACATACTGAAAACGCATGTTTCTAATTAGGTACAATTACCAAACAAACTCCATAGCAAAATTCTTATAGAAATTTAATAAAATGCATTCACCCTGTGCTACTGTAACCTTAGACAAGTCACTTAAAGTGTTCCTGCTCCTACCTGAGGCATTTTATCTCTTGTGCAATGGATCCTATCCCCTGTCACCTACCAAGTCCACTGTTTCTCCAGGTATTAGAGTTCTTTCTTACATCATAATTTTTCCCTTTCTATTAGATCATTCTCATCAGCAGAAAAACATGTCATAATTTCAATTTTTAAAGACCCCTTCTTTATGACAAAATTAGAAAATCACTCTTTGGCAAAGCAAATGAAATAACTGATTTAGGCAAAGATCATAAAATCATAAGATGAAAGGCTGATAGGAAATTTTCAATGGAAACATCAGGTAGTCACCAACTGACTTCACTGAACAACACTAGCATAGCTAAGAGTGAGAAAAATCAAACATGTGCCTCCTGATGTGATGTGATTCGAAGCATAGGGCACCAATTATGAAGTATGCACCCCAAAGAGTTGAACCTAAATCTAATCCAACATTTAGCACTACATTGCAGTTTACAAATAATATTGAAAACAGAGAAATAAATTAAATGACACCATGAGGAAGCAAAGATACAAATCAAGAATGTAAGATAGTCTAGAGGACAGTTGATCTAGCTTTACCAACTAAGAAGCGACTATTCTCTAGACTAAAAGAGCCTTAAAAGATATAATGATCAAATGTAAATTAGAATTTGACTGGTTCTAGATTCAAACAACTTTTATTTTAAACATAATTGTGGCAATCTGATTAGAAATAGGTATTAGATAGCATCAAAGAATTACTGTTATAACACGTGTGACTACGGCATGTGGTTGTGTAATAAAGTGCCATTTTTTTTTCTTTTTAAGATGCATACTGTGAAAATTAATAATCAGAAACTTTACTTAAAATGGAGTCGGGAGGCCAGAAGGGGGATCTCTCATGCCCTACCAGGACTGCAGAGCCCAAGAGGAAGAAAGACTTCTTGTCCCACAACAGCCCAGCCAATGAGAGATGTCACAACTCAGCCAATGAAAAGCCACTATACTTTGAGCTTCTAGTCTCCTCCAACCAACTCTTTGTTTACAATAGCTCAACCCAACTTCCTCTTCCATTCTATAAAAGTTCCTCCTCTCCTTGTTGAGGGGGACTTGCAGGGGGCTTGCCATGACTGCAGACCTTGAATTGTAGGTTCTCTGCTGATCCTGAATAAACTCATTTTTGCAGGAGAATTAACTGGCTGTTTCAAAGCCCTCCTTGACCTCGTACCTCTCCCTCTAGTTACAGCTCAATTTCCTTATCCTTCAAAATTCCTATATATATTCTGTTTCTACTTCCTCATTACTCATTCCTTTTTTCTTGAATCTACTCCAGTATGGCTTTTGTCCCACCACACCACTGTAACCACTCATCACGGCTGTACCTGGTAAATCCAATTTTCATGTCTTTATGTTGTTTAATCCATCAGCAACATTTGCCATACTTGACTATTCTGTTCTAAAAATATTTAACTTGGCTTTCAGAATACCACACACTCCTGGTCCTCATTTTATTCAATTAATTCATTCATTTGACACAAATCTATTGAGTCCCTACCAAATGTTAAGTACTATTCTAGAAGCTGGAGATATAGTAATGACCAAACAGACAAATCCTCCTACTTTCATGGATTTCATACTCTAGGTCACGTAGACACACATTATACATAAAACAAATAAAATATATAGAGAAAATATGAAGTGAAATTAGCGCTATGGAGAAAACTGGGGGACAATAACAAGATGAGCAAAGACAAAAATTAAAGTATAAAAGGGACCTTGTCTGTCATGTTTACTACTGTATCCTCAGTGCCTAGAAGAGTGTCTGGCACACTGCAGATGTACAAGAAGTATTTTTGAATAAATGAATAATTCTGTATCTCAATTTTCTTATCTGTATATTGAAAACATATGTGATTTATTTTAAGGCCTTTTTATCTATAAAGCCAGTAAGCCTCTTTGGGTTTATAAGATCAGCCAATGTATGTAAAAATGAGACCTATTTTGGGAAATGATTTCAAAAACTATAAGTTATAAACTATCATGTCCATAAAAAGGATACTCAATAAAAAGGGCTTCGAG